GTATTAATATTATATATTATTATATATATATTTTACTATACTATACTTACGTATTATTACAATATTATATGTAATATTATTATATATATATTTATTATATTATATTATGTGTGACCTGTGTGTGTTAATCTTTGTATATATATGTGGGTTGTGATGTGTGTGTGCGTGTGTGTGTGTGTGTGTGTGTGTGTGTGTGTTGTGTGTGTGTGTGTGTGGCGTGTGTGGTTGTGTGTGTGTGTGTTGTGTGGCGTGTGTGTATAAATATATTTGACACCAAATCCCCATCAGCTTCTGAACACAAGTGCCACTCCTACGGAATTCTCAACGCTGATTGGGCCCTCCGTCAGACACTCCCAAAATCTCGACTGTGATTGGTCACTTTCAACTCCCCCTGTCTTTTCCACCCCCCCTTCCTCACTACCTTCCCCCTCTCCCATATCCCCTCCCCTCACTACCTCCCCTATAATACTACTAGCAAGGAGGCTTGGCTACTTATTAAGTATTAAGTGCTATTATATTATTGACTACTTATTAAGTATTATGTATTATCACGTATTATATACCTTGAGGACTACCCCACCACCCGCTCCTCTGCTTCCCTTATCTCGCCGAAGTTTTCTGAAAAGTAGTCAGTCGTGTTGAAAGCGTGAACGAAGAAGCATGTCGGACCGTAATCCTGGATGTGACCTTGGTGAGAAACTTCTTTATTTAAGGATTGTTATATAACTGTTGGCATTTTTCTCTTGAGATATAAGGCCTACTGTGTTCTTTTGATGTTTGTGCTTAAAATGAATTGGAATTAATTGGGAAATGAGTTGGTTTCGAACAAATTGTCACGCAGGATAAGCCAATTCACTGTTGATTTAGTTTTATCACGAGTGGCACTCTTCGTGTCAGATGTTAATTGTTGTTAACATATTTCTGTCATGATTTCTGCTGTTGTATTTTGCTGCTGTATTTTACGACTGTCGTTTCTAAGAGCTGTATTTGTGGACAATTCAGGTTTCGATAAGAACACGAATTCAGCTACGTAACATAGTTTTCATTTGTAATGAAGGTGAAAGAATGTTAAACTTGAAACTTCTGTTGCTAGCCAGCATGATACAAGGACACACACTCACCATTACACTCTCACTGTCACACTCAAACTCACACATACCCACTCACATTCACACTCATACATACTCACATTCATGCATACATTCATACACACTCACACTCATACACACGCACTCATACCCACTCACACCCATACACACTCTCATACACTCAACACACACACACACACACACTCTCACACCACACTCACACATACACAACACTCACACACACACACACACACACAACACACACACACACACACACACACACACACACACCACACACACACACACACAACACACACACACACTCACCATCACTCACACACACCTCACACTCACCCACACACTCACACACTCACTCACTCATCACTCACTCACTCACTCACTCACTCACTCACTCACTCACACCACTCATTCACTCACTCACTCTCACTCACTCACTCACACACTCACTCACTTCACTCACACACACACAACACACACACACACACACACACACACACACACACACCACACACACAACACACAACACACACACACACACACACACACACACACACACACACACATACACACACATACACACACAATACACACCACACATACCAGACACTCACTCACTCACTCACTCACTTACACACACTCATTCACTCACTCACTCACACACATACACACACTTCACTCACTCACTCACTCACTCACTCACCTCACTCACTCACTCACTCACTCACTCACTCACTCACTCACTCACTCACACACTCACACACTCACACACTCACACTCACTCACTCACTCACTCACTCACTCACACACTCACACACACACACACACACACACAAAAGAGTGTGGTGGATGGAATCATGTACAGCATATCACATGAGTGGTGACTTGTCCATTTATCTTTTCTTTGTAAGAGGTACATGATATGTGTGATGTACAGCAACTTACATAATTTACATAATCTGTGGTACTTTTTTCAGTAATAAGATGATCAGCATCTAGGGATTATCTGTTTAGTTCCACGTTTATCTTTATGTAACTATGTAATGAGGAAGTTTTTTATTCTATGTATTTTAAGGAATTTTTGCTTATAGAATTAATTAAAAATACTTTTTTTTTAGGATTGAAAATGCTTTTTGTAACAGATTTCCAACAAAGCACAAGTGTAAGAGAGGATATGGCAAATCATTAAACAATTACACAAAACATGTCAATTTAAGCTTAAGCATCACTCTTTTGGGCCCAGGATTTGTGAGAGGCCTAGGCTCCAGCTGTATTATATCATCACCTCTCCCAGGTTTCACATGGTTTAGAATTGAATTAGGTATTAGGGATATATCGAACTCATAAGATGTATCGAAGAAGTAGGCTAGTTGTTGTTTATGCAAAATACTGAGTATAAGGTAGGGCACACATCAAATGCCATCATGTATCAAGGATTTTTAAAATTATTTCTTTGCTTTGCCAGTTTTTTACTTTATTCTTACAATGAATCTACATCTTCTAGAGTATAATATCTCCCACTTAATTTCCTAATTATTGTAATGTGAGCCATATCCTCCTATACTGAATGGAAATTCATTGGAAAGGTACTTCTTTCCATCATATCCTTGATAAGCTTGAATGAAAGATAGTTCCCCTAATTGGTCATTTCCTCCTCTGCTGAAAACCCAATCCCTCTCTCTTATGTAAATTTGCCACCACTATTTTGCAGACATTTTTTAGTCCCTATACAAGACTGAAAAAAACATCTCTCACACCTTTAAGAAGGCTACAGAAACTTACACCATTGTATGGAAATGAGCAACATTTAATCATAGAGACTTAATGTGCTTCATCCCAGCACTTTGGATTTTTGTAATGGCCAAGGACTGGCCTACTACAAGAAGCAGTATTAAGCTCTGTATTAGTTTTTTTATTTGATGCCATTTTATTGTTTCTCTCTCTATCATTTCCTTTTGTCTAGACTAGATTAGAATAGGGTAAATCTTAAACATAGAATTGCATTTGCCTGAGACCAAGCCCTTTAGGTCTTTAGTGAAAGCTTACAAACCTCACTATACTAGAGTGATGAAGGCACAAAGGCCGCAGCGAGTGTGCTAGTCACTGACAGTGTATCATTGATAAGTGATTGTAGGGTTAACTTCCCTTTCAGCAATCTTTCCTTTAGCTGATATTGTTTTTTTGTATGTGTTCTTAAAGGTATTATCTTACTTTTTCTCATTCAAAGATTTACCAAGATTAGATCTATTAGGGCACCTGTCCTCATGGTTACTCATAAGAAGAATAACAAGAGAGTGGAATCAGTGCAACATTGAAAATACCAAAGGGTAACATGGTAATTGGTCCGACAGTTGTAGAGGAATGGAAGTGATGAGCATGTCGATCAAAGGTCAATATAAATCAGTTGATCATATTTATAAACAACACACACATATAGTAAATCTTTTACAATATTATGAATGTAGCTGTTCAGATTATTAAAGATGAAAATTGTAAATACCTTGATCAATAGTCCTAAAAAATTGCAGTATTTATATGTAATAGATGATCATGTTTTGAAGATAAATTCATAGGCATTGGTTTGTTTGGAAAGTAATATAATAGAATATTTATGCATGGTTAGAAAGGATACTTGTGATTATAAGCTGCAGTTTTTGTAATGCATCATTTCAGTTTCTGCTTTACTGTAATATAATTTCTGTGATTATAATTTTACTGTGATGTATTGTTGTGTCCTTGCAGCTTATTCATACACTACTAGTCATTGCAGTAACTATATTTATATAGATTAATATGTAGCATTTTACATTTTCAGGGAGCCACATCCTACCAGTTGACTTATACTGACACATGTTACTGTTTTCCAAAAGCATGTGTCATGGAAATTTTAGTGATTTTTGACGATACTGCACCTTTCTTTTTCTATCATCCTTTATGTGAAAATGATTCTGTCATACATATATGCTGTGATACTGCCTATGATGCACGTAGAAGACCCAGTCCCAGAAAACCAGTCAAAGTCTCAGACAGACTGATATAGAGAGGTACAGCCTCCTAGGTTTTCCCTCAAGAAATTGCAGTAGTTGCAATTATTTTCCCCTCTCCTCAGCGCCATATTTAGGAGGCAGAATGGCTTGGAAACTATCACTAAAATTTCTGAAAACATGTCTTACAAGTAAATATTAATATTTATTATCATTTATTTACAGATTTAGGATGGGTGAACAGTGTGCGGATAAATTTGCCCTCTGTCAAGAGACGTGCAGAAACCCTAGGCACCAAGCGCACTGTCAAGAAGCAGTGGCAGGCAGCCTGGCTTCTGCGGGCAATCACCTGCATTGATCTGACCACACTGTCAGGTAACGTATTAGGATCAGGGAGTTAAAGTTTTGCTCATGATATCCTGTTATACTTTATGGACCTGTATGTATCATGAATTGGATGAGGTTGATACTGAAAGTCTAGTTAGGTTTTCTTATGTGGAAGGTTGGACAGAGACTGTGAGATTTAATCTATTATGGTGGTTGTACACCATTTTGGTTTCGGTGGAAAAGCTGTTTAATTCGTAGTGTGTGATGGGGCTTGTAATAGCCTTTAAAATGATTATTGTTCAATGACTGATTTAATGGGAACTCTTTAAATCTAATTGTAGTGTTTTCTAAATGATTTGTAAATTGAGTCATTGACATTTCTGCCTTTTTTTCTTTATTTTTTAAAAATAAATATTTGAGGAAGCAGACTATTTGTAATGTGTCTCAGATAGGCAATTATTTATTGCATAACTGAAGATATTGTAAATTTGCAGATATTTGTTCTGTTGTCTATCATTTTTCATTTTACTATAGAAATGCGAAGCCTTTTGTAATAAGTTGAATCTTGTATATAGATTTGTAGGAGATTGATATTGTAATGATGGTGTTACTAGAATTCTTAAAACTTGTTTATGAAAGTTCCAGTGGCTCAGTAGTTTTTACTTTTCTGATTAGTATTTGTGGTATTGGGTAGCAATTTCAAAACACCTTTTGGGCTGTAGTGTGCTATAAGTTAAGATTCATACAATTCCTATGATGAGAAAGATCAAACGGTAAAGAAGGTTTCATACAGCAATGGATAAACACACAAAAAAGAGAAAGAAAAGAAAGGAAATTGAAAAGAAACAGCCATAGAGAGAAAGAAATAAAAATCTGAAGATTGCGTATCAGGCTTTCCAAAATATTCCTCTGACCACCTGCAGGAGACGATACAAATGCCAACGTCCAGCGGCTGTGTCACAAGGCGGCTCGTCCAGTGCGCCATGACATCATCAAGGCCTTGGGTATGGAG